ATGCATACATCTGCATTTTACTAACTCTTTTTCTCACAGATAAAGCATCATGTTTTAGTATAAATCAATAAGAGATTTGTGCTGATACTTCTTCCAGTATTTATCAACTTTCCTCCAAATGGCATCCATAAGCCCATTCATAATTCATCTTCGAGTGCAAATTTCTGGGTACTCTAGTGTTCAATCATCTTTCACCTTCAAGTCACGAATGGGGGACTCGCTAATCTAACTCTTCAGGTTTAAGAAGATTGAACAGGGGCTGTTGTACCCCAAAATTTGCCCTCTCATTTCTCAAGGATTCTCTCACAAGGTCTTCTATGACGTCAAGTTTGCAGTACTGATACATCAATTTAGGCTTGGAATTGGCACAAGGGCAAAATGGTCATTTACACACTAAAAAGTCAAACTTTGACTTTTGATCAAAATCAAGTTTCAAGAATCATATTTAATCAAGACATGTTGAAATATGAATTTGTTTCATCAAGAAATTCAAAAGTCAAAATTCTAAAATACCTAGAATTTTTCTAAGTGTTTAAGAAATATGACATGCTCAGAACTTCTGATCAGATTATCACCATGATGCAAGATGATTCTGGAAGAACTTATAACACAAGAGTTTTAGATCTCAATAAGACCTAAAATATTGCAGAACAAAACTTCTCCTAGAAATTCTGGAATTTCAAGTTATAAATGTTCAAAGACACGTCCATGAAACTGAAGCACTCGGCGAATTCTGGACATTTTCAAGACAGAGTTTGGTTAGAACTTCTGGGCCAGTTTTCACGAAGGTTCAGCCAGAGTTTGCAAAAATAATTCAAAGAAAGTTTACAAAGCGTGTTACAAGCTTTTAGAAAAGTCTGAGAGCTCCTTCAGAACATGCTGGAGCAGAGAGATTCCAAGATCAGAAGTTGAATGTTTATTCTAAGTTACGTTGATGCTGAAGTTCTGACCCAGACTTAGGCTATGATGCACAATCTCATAGCGCAGAATTTCTGGTTTGATAAATCTCATCATCATTTAATGCTCACAACCACTTTTGAGTTTTTATCCTAAGGAATTCCCCACGTGTGAGATAGAAGTACCATTGTTGTCCTTGAAAAGCAAACTTTTGTACAAGTTTATGCTGGGCCCATGCTTTGCTTTTGCCTTTGAGGATACTTTTCCTTAATTCAGGCTTACAAATCCAGCTTAGGCACGACTAAAAGCTGCTAACCACCATGCTTATTTAACTTGCTTCAAGAACAAGCCAGCACGCTAGCATGATGTTGTTACTTTTGACTTCTTCAAGCTACAAAGTTCTTGCCTATAAGTTGTACTTCATTGGCATCTAAAAGGGGGCCGGTCAGAAAAATTAAAAGAAAAAGCTTTGAAACCTTGCTAAAATCTCCAGAAATCCTAAACTGCAAACACAAAATACAAAACCTGCTAGTTTTTTATTCTTGCATTCAAACTCCAATTTCCCTCAAGTGTTTCTTGACCAAATCATCCATTCACCATTCATAACCCAAGCTAAAGGTTGTTCCAGCCCGCTGAATACGTGAGGAAGTTGATCAGAACATTACAAGCAGTCAGAACCAGACTCCAGCTCACAAAATATTTTCCAGCTGCAAGGTAAGCTTCTGCTAACCCTCATCATATCACTTACGCATTGTTAGACTTTTATGTTCAAAACACAATGTAGACATCTTGATTCTGATGCTGTACATATTCTGAGGTTTCATGTACTTGCCTGCCTAAGTAGGAAGAACATAGGTTCAGAACTTCTTAAGGAAACCAGGACTAGCAAATACATGCGTGTTTCTGATTTATAGTCTTGTCATTTTTTATGCTTCTGAAACCTTGATGGGAAAACTGCCATAATTGCTATGTCTGTGTTTTCTGTTCTGTTGAGATTTAACTAAGTTGTAGATGTTCTAATTAGCATGAAGAAAAATTGGAGTTTATCACCAGAGTTTACTTTGTGATACATGTTTATTTTTTTGCTTCTAATACCAGATATACAGCCACCCCAGTGGTAGAAAGCGTGCGCATAAGACATTAGTGCTAAGGGTCTTGGGTTCTAGCCCCAAAAGCATTTTTTAGGTTTATTTAATGATATTATCACCCATTTATCTGTCAAACAATATTCATAAATCATAACTTCTAAATAACCTTACCCAACAACATTATCACCTCACTCTCTCAAATAGCCAGAACTTCTGACTTGTCAGTGATATATGAACTTCTAGGTTCCCAACTATACTACAGCTTCTGAACCCCTTCAACAATCAGAACTTATAGATCTTCCTTTATTCCTGGAAACCTCAAAACTTGGTGTACCCAGGCCCAGAACTTCTGACCTTCTGCTTGCCTACTAACATTTTCTCTCTTGCAGCGTATCAGAGTCAGAACTTCTGTTCCTCCTCATTTCAGCAATGTACTGATTCTGACTCCATTTTCTTATTTATCTTATTTTTGCTTTTAATAACCAAAAACACCAAAAATACTTCATATTCACATGTTTTATTTAATTTCTTTTAGAACAAAAAGATCAAAATATTTTCTTAAGTAAACTAATTTCTTAACAAAAACAAAACAAGTCCATTTTACATTTCTTGTATATTATTTGAATATGGTTGTAATAGATAATTAGGACTTTAATTTCTTGCAATCCCCATTTATAAATTTGTACCCCCATCCCCTAAAGCTTTGTAATAGCTTAGTATTTTTATTTTCCGCAATTTAATGTTTTATATACCAATTGCTAGTAATTAGGATTTGTATGGAAAGATTAAAACCAACGAATAGCAAACCCTAATCAAGACAAATCACGCATGTAAACCAATACATTTGCACACTTGCACCCTTAGGATAAACCCACTTTGTTACCTTATAAAATGACCATATTATGCATGTGAGGTATCTTAGAAAAAACAAACAAAATACAAGATCATGATCCCTCGATGATGCTATTCATGTTGCCTTTCAAAATGATTTTAGTCCCTAAAGAAAATGCTAAGATATCTTACAACATTGCTAATCATGGCTATACAATGACCCACGCCGCCCCTTGTACATCTAAAGATAGGGTTATTTACCAAATCAATGGTAAGATAACAATGTCAAAGGAAAGAGGAAATAAATATTAAATACTTTTGAGTAGGTAGATTGTTCCTAGTTGCTTGCTCAATTTCAAACCAAAAACATCCTTGCTATTTTCAAAACAAACACCAAGACTTTAAAAACATTTTCAAAAGATCAACACTTTTGTATACATTCTTATGAACGTGAATCATTACAAAGTTTGCCTAAACGACGGCGTCTTTTCAAAATACTTTCAAAAAACTACACAAAGCACATTTTCAAACAAAAGCAAGTGATCTAGCAAGTAACTAAGAGCCCATGAAAAACCATGGATGAAAAAGGTGCTAATATCTTCCCTTTTCATAATCTATCCCTCGAACTTAAGAAACAATCTCAAAGGTCTTTCCTGTGCTTTTTCACCTTTCCTTTTGGATAAAAGAAAAGTCAGTGGTGACTATTGCTAACCGCAATATTTGCGATCAAACGCAAAACAACCAAGTCAGTTCTCCCACCTTATCACACCAACGATGGGGATCTTTGCCCAATACTGGGGGCTACAAATACCCTCTCACTTGAGAGGGCCAGATATTCATTCTTTCATACTCATTCTCATACTTGCTCCCATTACTCTGAACTTCATTTTGACATCAGAATGTCTTGCAGGTACCCCCCACTTCACATTCAACTGTTGCTCGGCTCGAAGCTTGTGGACTTTAATAATCCCTTCTGATTAGATACGATCAGTTTTACAGTTAGAATATATATATATATATATATATATATATATATATATATATATATATATATATATATATATATATATATATATATATATATATATATATATATATATATATATATATATATATATATATATATATATATATATATATATATATATATATGTCATCCTTTCACTATATTTAGGACATAATATCGAAATTTCATTAATATATAGTTTTAAAACATCTTCCTCTAACTTGTCACCGTTTTTCTATTAAAGAAGGATGTTATTCACTTTAATTAGATTAACATTACTTACATGATTAACTACAAATATTTGGTGAGAGATATTATGGAATTCTTTGAGATATGTTGTGGAGTATATTGAAATTTAATTTAAAACTTATAATATATTGTATGCATATATGAAATATATGAAAAATATAATAAGATTGTTTAAATAATTATGAAATAAGAAATAATATAAAAAATTAAATAAAATCTATTCAAAAAATAATGCATATATGAAATATATAAAAAATGTAATTAAATTATTTAAATAAATAAAAATTGCGAAATAATACAAAATATTAAGTAAAATTTATTTACAAAATAATATTGTGTGGATGACGTTAGATCTATGTGCTGTTTATTTTTTGTTTTTTCATTTAAATAATCTATTTTTGGTAAACTTGAAGGAGTAAAAAAAAACACGGTAGTTAAAGCTGTTGGAAATAAGTCATATAGCATTTCCAAACATATTGGTGGTAATTAAACACGGATAAAACAAGATTTACTTATTTTAATTTTAAAGTAAGTAATAAAATTAGGGTAATGTTTTTTTTTACAGGAAAATTAGGGTAATGTTAAGAAAAAGTTTTTATATTTAATTCTAACTTATATTCTTGCGGCACATAAAATTAACATGTTAGATAATTTTGCAAAAGATATTCTGGCGACATTTTATCTATTTATTTTAATGATGTTAGGACAACATCAAGTGACTAAACAAAAACGTGGTAGTTTTTCAGTTTTCACATCCTAGTAGAAATTGAAATAACACGAGTCAGAATTCGTTGCGCACGCCATGACCATAAAAGTCAAACGCTAATAACTCTCACTTTTCTCTTCACAATCAATGTTTCTATTTCCATTCCTATCCACACCCCTGTTTCTTCTCGTGGTACCCCACCTCCTCCAATAACCCTCCAATCATGAAGCTTTTGATCCCTTCACACACTCTTCCCTTTTCCTCTCTATCCCAAACCCAACCCATGGAACAACAACAATCTTCACCTACTAACCCTGATCAAGTTCATCTTGCCGTTGGTAAATCGCTTCACAAAACCACTACCTTGCTTCGATGGACTATTACTCACTTTCCGAATGCGGAAATTGTTATTCTTCATGTTTATCAACCTTCTCCCGTTATACCTACTTTATGTAACTTTTCTATTTGAATGCTTTATCATTATCATATACCTTTTTTGTGCTCTACTTAATTTGCTTAATTTTGTTGTTAATTTGTTTTATTCGGTTACTTAGTGGGGAAAATGCCAGCATCACAAGCTAATCCTGAAGTGGTGTCTGCTTTTAGAAGAGAGGAAAGAGAACAGACCATGAGATTAACTGATAAGTATTTGAGAATTTGCTTTGCATCTAAGGTATTTATGATTCTTTTGCATTATGATTTGATTCATTATTTCGCCTTACCTTTCTAGTACAGACTCTTTTAAAAAATTGTGTGTCCGAAATACACTGACACTGACATTTGTGATTTCGTTTAATATATTCATTTTTTTTTTTAAATTATTACGGGTGTTGATGTGTCTTGTTTCCGGTGTCTTGCTTCATAGGGGCTTACTCTCAGTTAATGTATTTTTGTGTTTTATGCTTCAATCTTGTGTGAATTGTTTTAACTGAATATCTATTTTTTTGTGAAAGTTCTTTTTGTATGAAACCAACTACCGATTGTTTGTGTTGATGTAAATTTCTTGTCAGGTGAAGGCGAGCGTAATTGTAACGGAAGCCAACCAAGTCCAAAAAGGAATTGTTGATTTGGTTGTTAAGCATAATATTACAAAGCTTGTCATTGGAGCGGAGTCGGAAAAGTAAGATTGAGTACTTAATGGATGTTTTTTTTTACTGTCTTAGGTTTTTATTTTTGCAAGTTTATTTCTTAGAGAGAGGAGTGGGAGTTTGTATCTTCTGTATATACTCCTGCTGTCCGACTGTCTGTTTGTGCATTGCAATGTGCACATTACCTTAACCGATGAATAAAATGAGACGGAGGGAGTAATTGCCTTGTTAGTGGGCGTTGAACTTAGCTCGCCTTGTTAGTCAGTGTTGAGCTTAGCTCGTTTTTTTCTCAGGGGACCTTGCCTATGCTATGAGAGTGGTTAGAAAATCTTCAAACTAGTCCTACATTGCCCAGTATGGTAAAAAAAGAGGAAGACTAAAACTACATATCAGTGTTAACAAATAGCGGCATCGTGGCCGCTATGGCGGATATACATGGCGGTTTTTGGACTCGCCGCAGTGGTAAATATCAGCCGGTATTGCGGGTTTTTTCTGCCGTAAGCCGCTATAATGGCGCCTCAAAGTAGACCTACCAGGATTTTCGCTCTCCGCCATATGCCGCTATAATGGTGCCTCAAAGCGTATGGTATACCAGGATTTTGGCTTTCCGCCATCAACAACATTGCTATATACACATATAGTAAAATATGATACAAGTATCATCATATATATATTTAGTGAAATAGGTTAAACCATCAGCATTTACTAAGCTGAAAAACTTTCTCCTTCTGAAGCTATTCATTCCAAAAGATCATTGAATTTCTCATGAGCTGTTAGTTATTTTCTTAACACTAACATACAAAATTCACTCACACCAGTCACCTCAGAAAAAGCATATGCATCATTGCATCAAATCACAGGACTTCTAACAATAATTCTATGAAATTTATCCATATTAGTTGAAGTACCCTAGTACCTTACATAAATTTTTCTATGTAATGATTGAAAGGAAATTGACATAAATTTTTTTTACCGACTTTCGTTGCCCCATAAGGGAAGATTCTGGCTCTGTCCCAGTTCCTTTGAATTGGAAAAGGTGGAATTTTATTATTTTGATCGCAAGAATTTTACGCCCTATGTCTATAGTATTTTCTTTCATAGAAGGGACTGATAAAGCTTTCGACTTACCAAATCATAATGAAAATTTACAGTTGCTTGAAAGTGAAAAGGAATTCCGGGAAAGCAAATTACACTTCCAAACATGCTCCGCTGTTTTGTGAAATATGGTTTATATATAAAGGAAGACACATTTGGACAAGAGAGGCTTCTGAAAAACCATGTTCTTTGTCTTCAGGCGCTCAACCTGAAATTGCAGCAACAGAAAGCTTGAGATTAAGATCTTCTCAAAATGGTCAGAACGAATTACCCCATTCGGAATATATTCTACCAAATTCTGCTAGAACAACAGCATGTTCTGGAATTAGAAGCTTGGATCTGGGTGAAATCATAGAAACTGAAGCCACTAATTCATCCAAATCGTCCAGTGGTAGCAGTTATTGTTCTCCGCAAAATTCTGTTGGGGTTTATCAGGATTCATATTCAGTGGACATGCAAGAAAGAATTAACAGTCAACTTATTGAAACCGAAAGAGAAGCTGAGGCAGCCACAGATGATTTCTTTGCAGAACTATTAAACTGCAGGAGGTTGGAAATTGAAGCCATGGAAGCCATACAGAAGGTAAACATAATCTGTATGCTATACAACTTTTGTCATCAAAGAAGCTTCTGGTCTTTGCATTTGTTTTCGTAGTTTATCACGAGACATCACCTATGCTTTCATGAAAATCATGATATCTCTCCCAACTTAATTATATATTCTATGTTTAGGTCAAATTGTTTGAATCTGCCCATGCACATGAGGTGGAGCTCAGGAAAGAGGCTGAGGATGCACTTAGAGTTACCGTAACAGAACAACAAAAGCTCTTAGAAGAGAGTGAAAATATTTCCGGAGAGCTACAAATGACCATGAGAAATGTGGCCCTACTAGATAGCCGTGCTAAGGAAGCAACCCGTAGGCGAGACGAAGCTGCACACGAGCTCCTGCTAATTCAAACATCAATATCAACCTTGTGGCAAGAAAGGCAGCAGATCAGGAGACAAAAAATGGAAGCCCTCCGCTGGCTGGAACGGTGGAAAAATCGTGGTCAAATCGGAGCAGCACATTACAATGGGGTCATTGGATTTGCCGAAGAACTGCCTGAGTTAGCGGAATTTTCATTATCAGATATTGAAAATGCTACATGTAATTTTTCCAAGAGCTTTGAAATTGCGCAAGGTGGCTTTGGTTGTATATATAAGGGGGAAATGTTGGGTAGAACTGTTGTTATAAAGAAGTTCCATCAACATAATGTGCAAGGACCTGCAGAGTTTCATCAAGAGGTCGGTTTCCCCATAATGGTTTTTCTACTTTTAAAATTTTTATCTTCAAATAAAATGTCTCTCTTTTTTTGTATGCTTGCTTGACATTATCCTTGTGACCAGGTTCAAGTTCTTAGTAGTCTCCAACATCCTCATTTATTGACCTTGCTTGGTGTTTGCCCCAAAGCCTGGTCAATTGTATATGAGTATCTCCCTAATGGAACTCTTAAAGACTACCTATTCCGTAAAAGTAACGTTATCCCTTTGACATGGAATATCAGAGCACGAATGATTTCCGAAATTTCTAGTGCACTCTGCTTCTTACATTCTTTTAAGCCGGAAGCTATTATCCACGGTTATCTTAAGCCTGAGACTATACTTCTTGATTCTTCACTTAGTTGCAAGCTATGTGAATTCAGGTTCAGCAGGCTTGTGACAGAAGAGTCTCTCTATAGTGCTAGTTTCCACTTGAGCTCAGAGCCAAAGGGTGCTTTCACATATACGGATCCCGAGTTTCAGAGAACTGGGGTAATGACACCCAAGTCTGACACCTACTCCTTTGGGCTTATTATTTTGCAACTCCTTACGGCAGGACTCCAGTTGGATTAGCAGTTCTAGTTCGCCATGCAGTTTCATGTGGAAAATTGTCTTCAATTCTTGATTCTTCATCTGGAGAATGGCCTTTATCTGTAGCATCACGGTTGGCCGAACTGGGTTTGCAATGTTGCGCACAAAACCGCAGAAACAGGCCAGAGTTAACACCTGCTCTTGTTAGAGAATTGGAACAGTTACATGTTTCAGAAGAGAGACTCGTACCATCGTTTTTTTTATGTCCAATCCTTCAGGTAATTTATCTTTCTTTAGCTACCAAAAAACCTTAAGTAGATTTAGTATCCCTCATAAGAGCTGAGAAATCTCTAAGAACTGATAAATCTCTAAGAACTGATAAATCTAAAGGACACTTTTTTTTCTCGCTTTCTTTTTGTGCCAAAAATATAGTTATTGTATATGCTATGTGGCTCATGTTTTATATTGTCTTCCTTCTTCAGGAAATAATGCATGATCCTCAAATTGCAGCAGATGGATTTACATACGAAGGGGATGCCATACGCGAATGGTTAGAAAATGGACATGATACTTCTCCAATGACTAATTTAAAATTGATTCACTTGCTTCTCACTCCCAATCACTCGATTAGACTTGCCATCCAAGATTGGCTCTGCAAGTCATAAAGGTACATTAATTCATTTAGGATAAAGAACTCTTTTTACCACCCTTCCCTGTAAGTTTAGAGCTAGTTTCGTCTTAGCCGCACGATTTCCCTCATTGTAAATCTGTCCTGTATCCATTAATATTTTGCTAAATTTATTTGATCCCAATCCGTACCCTTTAGTTAGTCAACTTTAGTTGTCGCCTTATACTAAATTGCCTGCTATACACAATTTAACTACATACAAAAAATTGTATTTTGTCCATAATTTCTAGCCGAGAAAGCAACGAAAGGAAAAGGAGAATGCCAAAGTTGGTCATTGCCTTAGTACCTGTTGTTCTATTAGGACTTAAAATGCTAAGGACTAAAATGAAAATAGTCCCGTCTCATCATTTTCATAAAACTAGCTATTTTTGTGGGTTGTTGACAAAAAATATGTAATGTATATGCTATTTTTGCCTTGTTCTTCTGTATTCCTTTCCAGCTTCACCATTTTCAAGCATTCTAAGATACAAGGTTGGTTCTTGGTTGTCTTGCATGTTTGGAAAATCATTTTATAGAACAGAATTTGTAGAATCTTCTTCAGAGATGAGTCTTGACAGAGTTCTATTCTCTAATAATATTAATCCATTATGCATAAAAATGTAAAGGGATAGCCTTAGTTGAACGGTAAGGTTGTTCCATTGTGAGGATCACTTAAGCACCATTACAATACAATACTTTTTCAAGTGAATCTTCTGATGAAGTTTTGGACGAGGCTTTAAATAAATCTTTGTATGAATCTTACACAAGTCTTTGTACGAACCTTTAGTTGATAAATTTGAGGTTTCACTAATTGATTCCTCAATTGTTGTTGCATTCTTGATATGATGATTCTTCAAACAACTCTCTCGAAGATGATTCTTCAAAGATTCTTATGGATGATTTTTCAGAAGATCCTTCATACATAATACATAATGACAGTTCTTTCATATGATATTTCTGGAGTTGATCTTTCTAAGACTTCTTCATGTAATTCTTTTGATGAACATGGAAATAATAAATATTCTTTGGATGTAATTGAATTCTTTTCTTCATCTAAGTAGTTGGATTAACCCTTTAAGTTTCAAAAATGATTTTCTCCTTGGATCTTTATGAAATTCATTAAAAAAAGTCTACCTTTAGAATCAACTACTAAATCAGGTTTTTGAAACCAGTTCTTGAGTCTAATATATTTGTTAGAAACAATTTTTTTTAAATAACTTTGAAGGATTTTAGTGTTTGAGAATCACCCTTAAAGATAATAGCCACTTTTACTTGGTATCCCATCTTCTTGAACACGTATGTTCATCCTCTCTTGATAGACTTCAGAAAAATATTTCTAGATTATTTCAATAGTGTTTCATACTTTCTTTAAAATGTC